TTTTTGAAGCATAATTTCTCACTGGCCTGGAACTCACAAAATAAGCTAGATTGGCTGATCAGTGAACCCCAGAGATCTGCCTGTCTTTGCCTTCTCTCTGTTGGGATCACATGCCCTGCTTTTTGCCATGGGTTCTGGGGATCAAATTCACTTTACCAACTAACCTATCTCCTCAGCCCTGTGATGCCTTTATTCTAGCATTGACTTTTCTGGTGTGTTTTACATTTTATTGTAAGCAGCCTTAGGAAAGGGGAGATATTTACTTTTATCCTTGTAGTATATATACTATTAGATTCTTTAGGGGTCACTGCAAGTAACTCTTTTCTCAAATAAGAGATTGGAAGATCTTGAATCCCCAAAAGGAGCTGTCAGGTTTTCAGCCTACTTAAATTAACTCTTGAGACACAGGAAGCCCTAAGCTTCTTGGTTAGGTGGATGTGGTGATGATTAGGTGGGAGTGGCTAGGAGCTCCCATTTCACATGCCTGGCTTTTGGACTGACTAGAGCTATTAGAGCCCAACACTGAGGGAGAAGCATTGACTGAAGTAGACCCACAGGGGAAGCTGGTGATGCTAGGGGTGGGGAATGGAGCCAAGAAAGAAGGGATAATGGAAGGAAAATAGCAACTTTTAGTTGTATACTTATGGACATTTATTTTGTTTTTGTAAAATGCTTTGAGAAATTTCAAAATACTTTCAATTAATAGAGCTCTTGTTATTACCGTGTAATTCCATTTTTCCCCCTGCCATACAGCCACAAGGTCGACTCCTGGATGATACCTCTATTGCTGCTGCATGATGTTCAAGACCAGCTATGGGTATTCTCACAGAGGACTCAAGCAGAGCTGTCTAGGTGTTCCATTGTGAATTGTAGCTTTGATCATGGTAAAAAGTTAACTTTCCTGTTTTTTAGTAGTTGTTACCAGCTATTCAGAGGAACAAATGCTAAAAATATTAGGAAAATCATCTTATAGTTTCACTAATAAAACATTTGAAACCTGTCAGTGTGATGTGAAAGGATATCAGATCATTGTGGCTGTTGAAAGTCACTTTATGAATGGTAGATTGTTTCAAATGTGATTTGGATGTTCAGAATCAGTGGAAACTAGACACCCCAAATATGCTCTGGACAAAGAAGAAAATGTGCTGTATCTGCTCCAGTGAAGTCCTGAATCCCTGTGACCCTTCCAGAGTTAGACAACCTGGAAACGACCCATCCTCATAAATTCGGTGTGTGCTTAACATATATGCACAGCAGCCTGCATTGTACATAATACAGTTTGTATATGAGAATATACATGTATATATGCATATAGGTTTAAATACATAAAACTGTAAACAAATTTCATAAATTAATGTTTCTTTTTCTGCTCATACTTTGTATCCTTGTTTTAAAAAATTCCTCATTGTAACTTACTAAGTCGATTTCATAACCCCACAATAAGATGTAAATTGAAGGTTGAAAAATACCAGTGAAGATCTTTAAATACCTTTGGGCTCCAAGATGATTTGCCGCAGTGTACGCATAATGAAGGTCATGTGCTCACACTGATAATTTTCAGCATAAAGCATGTGTTTGTACAATGAGTCACTGATATGTACTTTAAAATTAGCATTGATGTTAATGTGATTTGCTTAACTGTGTTTTCTTTACCAAATAAACAAGTCCATGGTTTTGTTTTTTATCTTTCTTACAGCTGGTGGTAGAGCAATCTTTGCTAGCCAGCATTTTTCCCATATTGGAAATTCTGCTATAAATATATGCTGTTAACTGTTTTGAAACTGAAAATTTTTATTTAAAAAAATATGAAATCGTATTTGCTTTGGGTTCAAAAATCAAATTTGTCACGGTGCAGGAGCTGTTTCACGGAGGTGACAAGAAGGACCTCAGTCTCTCCTCCCTCCTCCCCTGCCTGTTACCTGGGTTCATTGGTGAGCATATCCCCCTGTCTTTGCACTGTGTTGACTCTCACTTCTCAAAACACCATTCATGACTGTCTTTAGCCAAAGCAGTATAAATGGAAAAATTTGTCTAAAAACTTATCTCCCATACACCCTGTCAGCACCAGTACAAGATCAAAATGACCTTTTTATGATCCTGAAAGAACAACGTGGGACTTTGATCCCTTCACCTCAGTTTTCTAAGACCTTAGCTCCTTGTCCTTGAGTTCTTAGAATTAAGGGATTTTTTTTTTTCTTTTTTTTTTTTTGAGACAGGGTCTCCCTGTAGCTCCACCTGCCTCTGCCTCCCAAGTGGTGGGATTAAAGGCATGTGCCACCATGACCGGTACAATTAAGGGATTTTAAGGAGCATGATTGCTAGGTTGAATTTTTAAAAATATCTTTTGGAATACTTGAAGGGAAGATTATTTTTAATTCAGGCATTTGTTTCATAGCCCATGTTATCTCCACCAAGAATGTAGTCTTCAGGTTGATACTTTCCACAATAATAGCTCTTTGGAATTCTGAGCTGTGATTTCCACATTGGCATCGAAATGGAAGAGGTAATGCTCTCAGAGCAAACACACAGCAAGTGGGAAACAAGCTGGCTTTTAACGGAAGGGGCCATGTGGTCCCAACAGATCCTTCTATAGTTCCCTGTCTTGACCTCAAAGCCTAGAAGATGCACCCAGAATCCAATTCCTAGTTTAAAGTTTACTTACTGATGGGTTATATTGTGTAATGGCGGAGTGAATAAACCGCAGTGACTGTAATTTTCAAGAAACAGTTACCATCCTTTTAGTGACTGGAGATTATCAAGTATCTGATGTTGAATTGAAAGCATATTCTTTCTCTTGCCTGGTCAGTTTATTCATGCTATGTGGCTTTGACCTTTGGGCTTAGGCCTTTAGGCTTAATCCTCTCCAGCTAAAGCCTTATGAGTGAATGCTAAGTAAAAACCACCACCCTGTGTGAGAAGATGGATAAGGAAACAAATTCAGACATTTTTATTGTCCCAGTATTCGGAAGTAGCTCTTCACTTAAAGATCAATGCAACTCCCAGTCCCTTTGGGGGACTATTTCTGAAGTGATTATCATGCTGTCCTGTCCTTCATATCATCCCACTTCCTCAGCAAACTGCCATCCTCAGACACATGTAAAGAGCTCCATAAAATTCACTAAATGGATAAAAAAAAAAAATCCCAGTTTTGCACAGAAAAAAAAAGAAATTCATAGTTATACTCAGGTCTCCCTCAAAGGTCACACTTGGGAGCAGCTTCGCCTCCCACCCAGTCTCCTTGTGCCTGCATAAAAGCCAGTTAACACAAGGTTTGTTGTTTCTGTTTTCTGAAGCACATTTTACCAGAGGGGAGTAGAACCACTTAACACTGCCAGTATGCCTGCATTTCAGGGCCTGCGTGCGTGCACGTTCTACCCGAGCAATGTCTTAGTTTCCTCCTCAGTCACTGGAAGAATGCAAAACTCAGAGCAACCCTGATGTTGATCTCTCATTTTTAGAACCCACCCTTACCCAAAATGTTTCAGTGTGCATGGCAAACAAGAGCTGACAAAGAGCTTTGCTAGAATGGTCAAGATTTCTAAAGCCCGTATCTTTCCCAAATGTTAATTGCTAACATTTATTGAGTGCTACAGTTTGCTAGGTGTGCTATATTTTTATCCCTCTATCCAAGCAGGTGTTGCTCTTCCTGCCTCAGTCTCCGGTGGTTGGGACTACAGGTACTCTCCAGCAGGCCTGGGTTGTTTTGTGTTGTGCTGTGTTATATTGTGGTTTGGTTTGGTTTGTTTTTTTTTGTTTGTGTTGTGTTCTGGTTTGGTTTGGTTTTGTTTGTTTTTTTTTTCTTTCATTTTGTTTTTATTTATTGAGACAGGGTATCACTATGTAGCCCTGCCTGGCCTTGCTATGTAGACTAGACTGGCCTCAAATTCACGGAAATCCACCTGCTTCTGCCTCCTGAATGCTGGGACTAAATGTATGCACCACTAGGTTGGGCTGATATAAGTATTCTTAGTATGCCAATTTAAAAGATGTACAAACTGGGGCTGGAGAGGTGACTCTGGTTAAGAGCACTGGCTGCTCTTGCAGAGGACCTGGGTTCAGTTCCCAGCACCCACATCTGCAACTCCAATCCCAGGGAATCCCATACCATCTTCTGACCTCTGAAGGCATTACATGACACAGGTGCACTTACATACATGCAGACTCACACATACAAAATTCTTAAAAAATAAAATATTTAAAAGGTGTAGAAACAGGCATATAGAAGTTAATATGCTCATGTTCTGATTCAAAACAAACCTCCCCAGTATTTAATGGCTTAAAACAACAACATCTATTATGTTTTAGTAGGTTAGGAAGGACTGGGCTTGAGGTCACCCACACTGCTGTAGTCTGACATAGCTGGAGTTAGAATAGTGAGGATGTGGGAACCAGGGCCCAAAGCCTCCTGGAGCCAACCAGGCCTCTGTTTAGTCTTTAGACTTTTCTGTGCAAATCCTGGGCATTCTCGCAGAAGGAGTGTCAGTGGGGCACAGTGTCCTCCCTCCTTCCACAGAATGCCAGTTCCACTCAGTTTCAAGTGAAGATGTGGAATAGGAGGAATTAATTATACTCATCTTCAGAAGATAGTCTTCCATGTCCAGTGACAGCAAGTGTGCAAGATCTGGGCTTCCTTTTTTTTTTATTTTTTTTACTGTGTATGAGCACATTGCTTGTATGTATATAAGTACACTGGTGTGCAATGCCCACAGAGGACAGAAGAGGCATCAGATCTCCTGGAACTGGAGTTATGGATGGTTGTTAGCTGTCATGTAGGTGTTGGGATCTGAACCTGGGTCTTCTGCAGGAAGAGCCACTGCTCTTAACCACTGAGCCATCTCTCCAGCCCTCAAGACCTGGGCTTCTAATGAAGGCTTACAACCTGCAGAGCCTGTGTGACCTGCACTATACAGACACTGTTCTAATGTGCATTTTTGTTTTGGAGGATGTTTTTTGTTAATGTGTTTTTCTTTGGGGTCGGGGACAGGGTCTAACTATGTAGCCCAGGTTGTCTTGTGATTCACTTTGTAGCCTAGGCTGGCCTTGAACTCATAGTAATTCTCCTGCCTCAGCCTCCTTAGTGCATCAGATGTTCCTGTTCAGTACTAAGTCGTTTGGGGTTAAATATACATCTGATGACTAAGGCACTATGCATTCCAAGATCTGGCCTTAAGACTATGGCAATAAATCTGCTGCCCAAGTATTTATCCAGGGCTTATTGTGAGCCACTTTCTGTGCTGGTTGTGAAGCCATAAAGGAGGCTCCATTCCTGAAGACCTGTACCCAACTGAAGAAACTTCCAAGTAACCATGTTCTGATTCTGGGGAACAAGACTGACAAGCTGAAGGAGTGCCAGGATTGATCTAAAATGTTTCCAAAAACAGAAACAAATTAGATGGGGTGTCTGTGATCCCAGAAATTGGAGAGACGGAGGAAGGAGGATCACATGGTTGAGGGCAGCCTGATCTACATAGCAAAACTGAAACAAAACAAAAGATAACTAGATGGGAGGAGATGGATGATTTGGAAGATGTTGCTAAGTGTTAAAGATAGGCAAAGGATGCCTCATCAGATTCATTGCACTATTTACACTACTTTTGGATGAGTAAACTTTCCTTGAAATGTTCCTTAATCAAAATAAAAGAGAGCAGAAAGGAAGCCCGGGGGAGGAGATTTCACTTTACACAGTGGGAGGAACCAGCCAGGAGCTAGGACGTCTTCAAGGACTGACCTGGGAGTTGTTTTAGTCTTCATGTTCATAATCAAATTATTCTGTGTTTTTGTTATATGAGAATACATTTCCATCATCCAGGAGCCAATGATAACATGAAGCTGAAGTTTGGAGCATATATAAAGTGTTTTAATGTAAACAAAGCAAGAAAGAATGTTCAAGGTGCTGAAAGGGAAGGCTGGCATCCCCTTCTGGCAGCACCAAGGCATGCCAACTGTTGAATGAAGATAGTATTTCCTCCCACAGAGATTCATGTTCCCAGATAAAACAGTCAGTGGGAGAGATGAAACTCCCTTAAAACCCAGAGTGCTGGCTGCTGTTGCCACCACCGCCACCAAAGAACAGGACTTTCCTCCCGGGTATGAGTGGTGTTTGTCTGCTTTGTGCTAATAACTAGAAAATTGTAACTTGAAAAATATCTGATTTGGGGTGGTAATTTGATGACCACTAAAGGACTGAAGCCACATGTCATCCCTAAGGAAAAGATAAGCCTGCTGTTGAAGATGAAGCATGGAATTATTTAAACGGAGTGTTCCACACTCCATGGTAGCTGCTTGCTTTTTTGTTGTTTTCTGGGGTTTCTTTTGTTTGTTTTAAAGGCAGCTGAGAGTGTGCTTTGTTTTGTTTTGGTTGTTGTTGTTTGAGACAGATCTCCCTGTAACCCCAGCTGGCTTGGAACTTGCTGTGTAGACCAGTCTGGCCTCCATCTCACAGAGCTCCTCCTGCCTCTGCCTCTCTGCCCCTCTTCCTCTGCCTGGATTAAAGGTGTGCATCACCATGCCCGGCTCTTGTTTTGGTTTTTGAGATAAGGCCCCACTATATAGCTCAGACTTTCCAGGAACTTGCTGTATAACTGGCTGACCTTGAACTCCCAATCCTTTTGTCTCCGTCAGCTGAATGCTGGGGTTACAGGCATGGGCCACAACTGCTGTTTTATGAGAGATGTTT